CTTTTCCTTTTCTTCTTCATTCTCCATCTTCTCTCTTCCTCTCTCGATCAAACCCTAATTTTTAAACATTCTCCGTCATTATTTCTTCACTATGGCTGGTAGCAAAGACAAATCCAAGAAGGGCCATAAGAGGATCAAGGTGAAGGCTACCAAACGCCCTCGGTACACCGTGTCCCCAATTCCACTTCACATGACGCCGCCACCGGAATCGTCTACTCAACCGATGGAAGAAACTCCTACTGCCACACCATCCTCCACTCCGTCGAAGGATGTCTCTCCGATCAAGTCCCTACAGGACTCTCCCAAGTCCACCAATGTTCCCATTTCCTCGACCCCTGTGATTGAAGCAGTCCCTCCCGGCGGAACTCAGGGGGGGTCGTCGGTTATTCCAACCTCTGTCAGCAAATCCACTACCAAAGAAGGCGAGAAGGAGGACACCGCTGGTACTCCTATTGAAGTTCACTCTGACCAAGCCACTCCTCCTCCTCGGCAGGCTGTTCGCTGTTCCGCGAGACGCCTGGGAAATGACCCTGTTGATGAAGAACCTCTTGAGACTGAATGTGAGGATGGTGCCTTTGATATCATCAACGCCTTCTCTAAGGTTCTATACTCATTTGGCCAGTGATAGGTTCAACACTCTTTCTTTTTATGATTTCTTTCTTGAGCGTCCTGTTGATGAAAAGAGGTTTGGCGAACATAGTGTTATTGATCTAATTGATAATCTTGGTATGCTGCGGACTGTGTCTCTATTTCAACCCTTTTGTGGCCAAGTTGTGCGTGAGTTCTACGCCAATCTTACCCCTGCTGTGTTTTCTCCTGATAGTCCTCGATATCACAAAGTCTTTCTTTGAAACCGTGTCATTGATTTTTCCCCTGCCTTGTTGAATGCTCATTTGGATCTTCCTGATAATGTCAATTTTGAATTGCCAGAAGTTGACCTTAATCTTCTTACTGTTGTTCTTTCTAATAACATGTTTGGTGAATGGCCTGGTTCTAACTTGTCGGTTAGTTCCCTGTTTCTGAAGGCCAATTTACTACATAAGATTGGGGCGTGTAACTGGACCCCAACAGGTAATAAGAATCAGCTTACTGAGCTTCAGTGCAAGGTCATCTATTGGGTTCTTGTGGGTCAACCCATAAATTTTGGGGCTGTGGTATTTGAGGTCATTCGGTCCTTTGTAGCCAATCTTGATTCGCGCCGCACCTTGCCCTATCCTTGTTTGATTCGGTCTTATCTAATTGAGGCCAATTTTGTTGTTGATACTCGTTTCAAAGATTATTTGTCCAACCCTGGCAAGACTCTTGTGGTTAGTTCACGGACAATCAACGCCCAGTCCACTCCGAAGACCAAAGTGGAACCTGCTCCCTCTGTTGTTCCTACAAAGTGGGATGAGTTTGTTGTGCAACAAATTGGTGAGTGGGAGAACATTTCCAAACGGGATGCTGCACAACAGACCTATCTCGAGCAGGTTCTTAAGGCCATCCAAGCGAAAAACAAGAACACGGGGAAAGGCTCTTCGGCATCCCGTAGTTCGAAAAAGGGGGAGATGGATGAAGATGAGGAGGCTGATGATGAGGACTCTGGGGAGACTCGACTGATGATGCTATCGATCAGTATGCTGGTTGATTGATTTTATGTGTGATGCTTTTGAGGGATGTAGTGAGGTTTTGCTTGTATAAGAACCTCCTTAGAATTACTTTTGTGGTTTGCTTTTGTTTGCTTCTATCAGGTCTTTCTTTTTACTACCTTTTGTGATGAACTCTATTTCGTTGTCTATGCATAGTGATTTCTTTTTTATGTGAGTATTGCTCATATATGTTTTGCAGGATGTCTGAACTGAGTGCTTACTCAGTTGCTGAGATAGATGTTCTTACTCAGGATTTATTTGTATTTCCCTTGTTCCCTTGTAATGATAATCTGTATAGTTGTGCTTGCTGTTCTTACTTTGTTTCAGGTATCTTCATTATATAATTTTCGAACTAGATGCCAAAAGGGGGAGATTGAAAGAGTTATATTTTTGGCAATGAAACTCAAAAATTAATATAAGTGAAGATATGTTCTTGCAAGCATGATTTATAAAAGGGAAGTTATTTTATATTATTTTATACTCACGAATATATATATATATATATATATGAGTCGATTTTATATCTTAAATATGTTTTGCATGATCTTATGTTGATTCTGTTATTTTAGGAATGGGTATGCATGGAGTAAAAAAGAGAGGCGTGCATCATGAAGAGATCTTGGAGTGAGATAAAGGAGATATTCACTTACCATAATTCTTGGCACTCAACTGGAAGGAAATCGAAAAAAGGAAGGAATGCTACTTGGAGAAGACTTCGCGCCTAGGGCTGTATAAATACCCTACTTGAAGATTGAAGACGGCTGCTGAAGTGATCATTCACCTACATATTCTTCAAGCTTCAAGTGCTTTTGTGATTTTTAGATTGTATCCAGTTTTGTGTGTTCTTATGAAACTGAAGACTGGAATTGCGTTGTATTCTTTTAGTTGGTTTTTTTATTCGAACCTTATCGTGTTTAACACTTAGGGATTAAGTGTTGATCAGAAAGTCCACGGGACGTGGCCGGAGAAGTAGTTGATAGATTTGAGCATAGTTGTGGTTAGGCTAGAAGGGAGTTCTAGTTGTTATAAGTCCAAACTATGTACAAACGAGTTATCAATGAAAGAGCTCTGAGGAGAAGTGGGATGCTTCCCTGAAGAGTTTTATATCTTCGGTTTATTGTTTCCACTATTTTAATCATTTACTCGTGTTTTTACAACGTTGAGCGCACTCTCGCAAAATATATATGTTTCACCAATAATCATATAGGAAAGTACCTTTAAACCAGTATCATTTTTGAGTGCACAGCTCAACCCCAACTACATATACAGGCTTCATGAGACATCCAAATGTATAAGTAACGATCCCAAATTTTGATTTCCTGAGTATTTATCAACTCCAGATTTAACATTGTTTCTAACTTAAACTTAGTTTATGCATTACTTTAGTATCTAATAGAATTTGCAGCTTCCCATTTGAAATTTCAAAAGTTCAGGATGACATTTCTTAAATGCTCCCGAGATGGTGAAAAAAATATTTAGAGGGCTACTTGCCATATCTGTCTTGATATGAGATACCATACAGGGTCACCCAGACCCGAAAACCAGGTAACCAAAAGCCGGTTGTTCAAGCTGAGGCTGTTAGTCGACCTGAGTGTGGCGTCAGGTCGATGGGGTCTTTGACAGGAGCAGATTGAACGGAAGAGTTTGGCTTGACTGACGGGTATTAGACGTGGATGGACTCTGATCGAGGGATCGACCTCTGAGGTGGTACATGAGCTGAGGGGGAGGTGTCTCTACCTGGTGACGTGGGGGTTGGTCTTACAAGTAGATCGTCTAACAAGGAAAACCAAAGGATAAGAAGGAATTTAAGGCAACTTGGGCATCAAGGGCAGCAACTTGGGCAGCAGGTAACTCACTCCTATAAATAGGAGTGGATAGTTTCATTTAGACACTCCAATCTCTACACTCTCTACTCTTATATTCTCTCTACAACTTTATTGTTCATCGGCTTCTACACACACTGACTCAGGCATCGGAGACTCTTTGTTGGAAAACCCCCTTCTGGTGTTGAGTTATCGTAGGTGTGGAGGCCATTCGAGGTAGAAGAAACAATTTTCCTATCATAGCAGTTCGAGTAGAGACCAAGTGAAGCCCATCACTTTCACTATTAGTAGCGCTGCTTGGGACTCGTTCGAAAAGCCAAAAAATCATCCATGGCGAACGCAGCTCCTACCAAGCATCTTGCACCAAAACCTTTCTAGACAATTCTCCTAACCTTTCCCGCTGCTCCGTCGCCATCTCTGCCGCTGGTCGCCGACCAAAATGCTCCAATCGCAAAAGTTTTTAATCATCGTGTGGCTCTTCTCGCCATCATTCATCCCTCCGAATTTTAGGCCAAAACTCCGGCAGGAAGACTTCCAATTGTGTCGGTCAAACATTCTAGATCTAGAAAATTTTGGTCAACATTCGGCATTCATCTCTAATTTCCCGGCGACACGGGATGATCCATAGAAATTCGAGAATACCACTGGAATCCTCTCTCTAAGGAGAACCTTCGACAGGTCACCTTCATCGATCCTGCGCCGCCACCTCCGCTGTCGGTCAACAGACAAAGTGCTCCGATCACAAATTTTTTTACATCATTTGGTACTCTCGTCTACACGGTTCTCTCCTTAAATTTTCAGGCGACGATTCAGACCGGAAGGCCTCTAATTTCGCGGTCAACTGAAGCGGATCTACAAAAATTTCGATTAACCTTCAATTTTCAGTGATTCACGGTGGCTACCAAAAATCGGAGAAAACCACTGAAATCCTCTCTCCGAGGCGAACCTTCGACATGTCTTCTTCACCAGTCCTCCACCGCCGGACGCCGGCCAAAGAAGAAAGGTAATTTTTACCATAAAGATATTCGATTAAGAGATTGATAATAGATCATTTGGGTTTTTAAATTGAACACAAATCACTACGATGGTTTTTTTTTTTAACGAAACGATATAGATAATATGAACTCAAAGCCAAGCGAACAATGTTCGAATACAACGAGCAACACCCGAAAAAATAAATTGAGAGGGAGAGATGCCAGGAGAGAGAATTTTGAGCTGAAATAAATAAAAACTCATAAATTATAATATTATGGAAAAAAGGAAAGTATTAAAATGAAATAAAAGTAAAAAGTTGGTATGAATTTTTTCTAAATGCTTATAACATAAACTTTTAACATTTTAAAAAAACTCATCCATTCAAACAAAGACTTATGTAAATTAAAGAAGTTTATAAACTAAAATTAAATAAATTATAAGATAACTTATTTTTTTTGACGAAAAATGCAACAATATGCCTCCGAGATTCTGGAGTTAAACACTGTAACTTAAACCCCTAAAAAGGGCCGGCGTGACTTAACCCTTAAACCCTAGAGTCTCGTTACTTCTAGACTCTTCACTTGCGCTCATTTTAAGCATAAAGGACAACCAGAAACCAAATCCAATATCACTTGTGTACTGCGCCCTCTGTCCTCTCCAAAAGTCAACATTTTCTTCCCGTCTGCCTAGTTTTCCCTGCAGTTCATTCTGTTTTTCTCAGGCAGCATGTACCGCTTTGCAGCTAATCTTGCCTCAAAAGCCAGGTAATCAAGGACCCTTATTCGAACTATTATGTGTGTGCTTTTACTGTTATGCGCGACTGTTTTTAGTTAGTAGTCTAATTACACTCAAATTTCAATATTGTGCAGGGTTGCTGGAAACAGCAGCCAGCAGGTACTCTTTGAACTAAAAGACTTCAAATTTTGATTCCTAATGGATTTGGTTTTTCTGTTTTCAAATATAAATGACATTGCTATGATTTATATGTATTGGGATATGGGTTTTGGTGGTTGTTGCAGATTGGTAGTAGATTGGGTTGGAACAGAAACTATGCTGCAAAAGACATTAGATTTGGTGTGGATGCAAGGGCTCTGATGCTTAAGGGTGTTGAGGATCTTGCTGATGCTGTTAAAGTCACTATGGGTCCAAAGGTAACATTTTGTCACTGCTACTTCTTTACCATTGTGTGTGTGTGTTTGTGGTTGCACTTCACATCACTTAAGTTGCTAAAATTGACAATGTGGTGTAAAATTCTGTACTTCTTGGTGTCTTGTTGGTTTATATTTGATCTTCTATGTATTGCCAGTTATGGTGGCTTCCCTAGACTTTTTCTGGTCTGCCGTCCTCGGTTTTTGTTTATTTCTCCAATTTTGCTTTTGTATGTAGATTATGAATTAAGAAGTACTAGTACGATAACCGAGTACACGAAATTATATTTAAATTTAAATAATAATAACAAAAATTGTTTTAGTTTTTAAATACTTTTTTGAAAAATATATTACTCCTCTTATTTTTATTATTTGTCATTCTAGCTTAAGTAATCATTTGTTAAATAAATGTCGTTTTGGCTATTTTGTACATATTTTTCCATCATTACTCTCATCTAACTAATAAATACACTATATTTTTTTATATTTACTCTCATGTTTCCTCGAAACATCAATCTCTATCCTCAATAATGAGGGTTTATTGGCAAAACAAATATTCTTAATTATTGTGCAACTTCTCAAAACGACATTTATTAAAAATAGGAGGGAGTACTATTTATATTTGAATTGATATCGTCACTTAAACGGCTTACCATCTTATGTTATATAATTTTTTAATTTAAATCAGGTAACTACTTTGTAGTTTAAATAATTATTTTTTTTCGAATTAATATTAATAGGTAATTTAAAAACTCATTTAAAACTACTTTATTCAATATATAGATATATACTCTTATTTTATGAATTAAATTTATGCTATTAAAGAATGAAAATATGGAAAAGTAATACATGTATTAATTAGTTAAAAACTCATTTAAAACTATAGAATACCAAATTTATGGAATTATCTTAGGATACACTCACACAATAATATGATAGAGTTGATACACAAATTTATTGGGGACAATAAATTCATGGTAATGAAAGAGATATTTATAGGATGCAATAATGTAAGATGAAATAATTATTTATGGTTGATTTCAAGTCTGATTATGTTTCCAAATTTTTTATCCGAACCTAAATACAAAGCATAATAATTTGACACGTATGAATCCAAAGAGTGATTTATTGGTGATTTTTCTTCTTATAATAATTTTGAATTAATATATAAGGGGGTTTTATTGGTGATTTTTCTTCTTATAGGGGCGTAATGTAGTGATTGAACAAAGTTGGGGTGCCCCTAAAGTGACAAAAGATGGTGTGACCGTTGCTAAAAGCATTGAGTTTAAGGACAGGGTTAAGAACATTGGTGCGAGCCTAGTGAAACAGGTCGCCAATGCTACAAACGATGTTGCTGGTGATGGTAAGTTATTATTTCAAACCAGTTTTGCAAATTTCTTAAAGTGTAAATACATTTTTTATTTTTTTTTATCCTAAGTGTGTTTGAATTGTGTGTTTCAGGTACTACCTGTGCCACTATCCTCACTCGCGCAATACTCACTGAAGGCTGCAAGTCTGTGGCAGCTGGCATGAATGCCATGGACCTAAGACGTGGCATAACAATGGCTGTTGATGCAGTAGTTACAAACTTGAAAAGCAGAGCAAGAATGATTAGCACGTCCGAGGAGATTGCTCAGGTTTGATTGTGGTGAACTTTATTCAAATAATGTTCATTAAGAGAAGATAGAGCAGTGTTTTAATGAGTGCCGTGTGTCAAGTTTGGAAGAGAATGAATTCTAGATTACTTTCTGAGCCGGTGCTAGATGTTTCACCTATCCCTTTTCAACTATTAGTTATCTAATTTGGTTGTGCATCTATAGGTTGGAACAATTTCTGCTAATGGAGAAAGAGAAATTGGTGAGCTGATTGCCAAGGCTATGGAGAAAGTAGGCAAAGAGGGTGTTATCACAATTCAAGTATGTACACTACTCTTGATTTGTGTGATGAACCTTATGAAATTTGCATTCTGAATGATTTCTCATTCTTTTTATTGTTTTTATATTTTTGTGTTATTTCTCTGTTGTTCATATAGAAATTGTGAGTCTATGACTCCTATGATATTCATATATATATTTTTTTTTATTGAATTAGATGCCTGCAATATATAGGTCAGGGTAGATGCATAATTTTGTTATGTTAGTTTGAAATTTTGAATGTTCCATGCAATCAGGGTTATAAGACACTTGCTTAACTTAGGGCCTGAGGCCATACTTTGCTTCATATCTCTATTTTCGTTCTATTTTTGTGTGAGTAGACATCTTCCTGTAAAGAAAAGCTTTGTAATTATACGAGCCTGCTAATATATGACATGCTACTTCTTATATTTTACTTCCTGTCTTGACCTGTATAGTGCTTATGTTCTTATGTTCTTGGTAAAGTATTACTTTTTTACTTTTAATTGAGATATAAATGTGGTGTTCGCAGGATGGAAAGACACTGTTTAATGAATTGGAAGTGGTTGAGGGGATGAAGCTTGACAGAGGTTACATATCCCCATACTTCATTACAAATCAGAAAAACCAGAAATGTGTAAGTCTTAATTGGCTGAAACAATCTATACTTCCAATGAGTTTCTTGTATCTGATGCATGCCTGATATAGTTACTTTCATCTGTCTGCAGGAACTGGATGACCCACTCATTTTAATCCATGAGAAGAAAATATCAAGCTTAAATGCTGTTGTGAAAGTTTTGGAATTAGCTTTGAAGGTATATAACATTAAGTTAATGACCTTGACAAAAACATATACCTTTGGTTTTGAAATTATGAGCTCATTTACGGCCATGCTTTAGTTTCTCTAGTGATTCCTATTTGTCTTGTATATATGCAGAGGCAAAGACCTCTTTTGATAGTTTCGGAAGACGTGGAAAGTGAAGCTCTTGCAACTCTTATTGTTAACAAACTTCGAGCTGGAATTAAGGTATGTGGCTGCTTTTCCTGAATTTGGGGCATTTTCTTATCATTGGGTGATATTATTTCTCTGCCTGGTGCTTGACTTTTGCCATTTACATTAAAATTTTATGTTGCAGGTTTGTGCTGTGAAAGCACCTGGATTTGGTGATAACAGGAAATCTAATTTGCAAGATCTTGCTGTCTTAACTGGTGGCCAGGCAAGTGTATTTCCAAAGTCAACCTTTCCCCCACATATAAAGAAGTGCACATTTTATATGCTTTGTCTTTTATTTTAATAGGTTATAAGTGAGGAGCTTGGAATGACCCTTGAAGATGTCGAGTTGGACATGCTGGGCTCATGCAAAAAGGTTTGCTCAACTCTTATCTTTGCGAATGCTTGCTTTCAACTATAAAGGTCATATTCGGATATGTTAGTTGAAAAGATTTCATTACCAAAATGACATACCAAATTTCTCGCGGTTTTTCTAGGTTACCATCTCCAAGGATGATACTGTTCTACTTGATGGTGCTGGTGAGAAGAAATCCATAGAAGAACGATGTGAACAGGTTGACATTCCTTTCAACCATCGTCTCTCTTTCTTTCTCTCTCTAAATTGTTTGTTACAACTTTGTCTCATGTCTATTTTTCTGTACAGATTAGGTCTGCAATTGAATTGAGTACTTCTGATTACGACAAGGAGAAGTTGCAAGAAAGGCTCGCAAAACTTTCTGGCGGTGTAGCTGTCCTCAAGGTCTGTTTTTGTATTCTCAGCACTCCAAATTCAGGGCATTTGTATGTAGAAAAAACATAATTATTTAATATGGTAAGTTGATTTTTTTTTATTTTTTTTTCAGATTGGAGGCGCTAGTGAGGCTGAAGTAGGCGAGAAAAAGGACAGGGTGACTGATGCTCTAAATGCCACGAAAGCGGCTGTAGAAGAAGGAATTGTGCCAGGTAAGTAAAATAATAAAATTCTCACCCCAAAGATGAAAAAAATTTGTGCCAGCTAAGTAGTGTGCAATTGTCCAGGTGGAGGTGTTGCTCTGCTCTATGCTTCTAAAGAATTGGATAAGTTGCAGACTGCAAACTTCGATCAGAAGATTGGTGTGCAGATTATTCAGAATGCATTGAAGGCATGTTGCTACATTCTTAACTTACATGAACATCATAATTCTCTATAGATTATTTAATTTGATTAAAGAATGGTGTTTATATATGCAGACACCTGTTTACACTATTGCATCAAATGCTGGTGTTGAAGGTGCTGTTGTTGTGGGCAAGTTGTTGGAGTCGGACAACCCTGATCTTGGATATGACGCGGCTAAAGGTAAGTATATATGCAGGGGTTTGTGAAAAAATTCTTTAAAAATGATGATAAAGTAGTTTAATCCAATTTTCTGATTTTGGCTTCTAACTTGCACTTGTTTGAGCAGGTGAATATGTTGATATGGTGAAAGCTGGGATTATTGACCCATTGAAGGTTATTAGGACTGCCCTTGTCGATGCTGCTAGGTAAGCATTATGAGGAGTTCTTGTTGTTTTCTTTATGTTCCTTGAGATTTTGATGGAGGGGCTAATTTGGAAACTTTATGTTTTTAAAATTTTCAGCGTGTCGTCATTGATGACAACTACAGAAGCAATTGTGGTGGAGTCTAAGGACGAGAAGGTGGCCCCACCAATGGGCGGCGCCGGTGGCATGGGTGACATGGACTACTGAGGTTCTTTTTGACATTTTGATGAGTTTAGTTGAGGGAGCTGAGTTAATTCTATGTAATCATATTGGAGAATTCGATACAGATCTCCTTCGGACTCTTATAGGATCAGGTCATGTTACTGCTTTGAGAAGGGGACTTGCAACTCTTAGATCAATGATTTGCTTTTCCGATTGATTCCGAGTTAATTATGTTTCTTAATTGTCCTGTATAATTTTGGTGATGTAAGACATTCCTTATCATGACCTTCCCTTTAGGTCGGTCGGTTAAAAAGACTCAAGTGTTGGTTGGAATGGATCAGATGGGCTTGTTGAGCTTTTTTCTCCAAAATTTGTGCCTTTTCACCTTCAATACAACAACAACAACAACAACAACAACATAGTCTTTTCACCTTCAATGTACACTCGAATTGTAAGATCTTTTATGAAACTGACATCTTGAAATAAAATTTTATTCTCTTCTGTCATTTGTTTTAAAGCATCAGATTTGTTTTGCATCTCCATTTGGTGGTTCATTTTTTTTTGTTTTTTTTTTACTTCTATAGTTCCTCAAGAAATTTATTATTTGCTTTTTGCATGGTGTTGATGATCGAGATGAATCATCAAGAATCTTCCTTTTCTGTTTGACTTTCTTCATTCCAATAGGTTTTTTAGATGGAGAGCTAGCATACTGATTTGAGTTGTCTAAGTTTAGATAAATAGAAGAAATGTATGAGGATGCTTGTCGGGGAAACTCAAGATTGGGATTTTCTTACAATAAGTTATATGTGATAAAAATTTAGTGTATAGAATGAAAATGTTAAGATGTAGCTATTACAAACCATGTCTCTATGTTTTGACCCACCCCTCTCTATGTTTTGACCCGAAATGACTAATCTCTGCAAAGGTTCTCACACTTATCCACGGTCTGACCCAAAAATGACGGCTAAAGTACATATCCACGATCATTTGATAACTTATTGGGCGATAAACGAACACTTAAAATTATTTCCGTTCAGACGAGTTTGGCGAAAAATTGTTCCATAAATAGGGGCTTCCTATACACATGGAAGGTAAAAAAATAAAATAATAATAAAGCCCTCTCTCCTCTCATTCGGTTACAGGACCACTAAGAGCATCTTCAATGTAAAATTCTTCATTTTGTGTCGTATGGCATGGAGAATGAAAACTAAAAAATATGTCTCCAATGGTTAATGTTAATTGTGATATCATTTGGGATGTGTAAAATTTTAATTCGTTGAAGAAGATAAATAAATTAAATAAATACTCTAATATACAATAGAAGTTGTCTAGAAAGGCTTCTACATCTAGAAAGCCTTCTAGAATTTTTTCAAGTCACATAAGATTATTTGTGTCATGTAACAACAAAATAGAAAAATAGAAAGACTATTGGAGATGCTCTAATCTTTCCCGTTTCACAAAATAGGATGATATCCATATTTATCTTCAATCTCTTTTCTATGTTATCATGATGGTTTAATTTTTTCATTCTAGTTGTTTCTATTTCTTTTTTCTTTCATTAAATTTACTACTCTCTTTCATACACACATACCAATCTTTTATTTATATCTCTTCATAACACTCCCTCTCTTTCTATTTAATTATATTATTATATATTATTATATTGACTTTGTAAACCTATATAATTTATTTACTTTAAAAGATTATATTATTTATCTATTTTCTCTCTGTAATAAATTTAATTACACTTTTTTTTATGTACTTGAGTTTATTTTTAGTAGTCTTAATGTTTATATTTGATATATTTATTATGATCTCAAATTTGGTTTATGTTGGATGCATATTAGGCTTATAAATTGGAATATTTTAGTTCTATAAAATTGGTTGCATTTTGTTGGGTCTATATAAAAAATGAAAGATTTTTACTAAAATTATTGATATATATATATATATATAGGGTCACGCTCCGGTAAGAATGATGCTCAGTGAAAGAAATGAGAATATATCGTAGCCATTGGATCGGATGATCCAATGACTTATAAGAAAGCAGAAAATATATTATCATTAAGGTCATTAGTGTAATTTTTCACACCATATCTAAAAGGTGGGACCCAGTCTAAATTAATTCACCATCAACTAAACCCCACCCACCAGAAAATTAATGCACCTGCCATTAAATTATACCCCACCCCACGCCACGCCACCCCACACTTTCTCACACACACGCATGCACACACTGCACACACAACACGCCGGTCGTGTACCACCGGCAACTGTCCGCCGTCGCCTGCCGCCCGCCGCCACTGCTTTTATCTCACAAACAATCCACAAACGCGCAGGGACACAGTTACACCACCCATCGTCGCCGGAAAATTATTCCATTGCCGTCGCCGCTCCTCAATAGCCACCGTCGTACCATCACCACGGCAGACATAACCACCACCGTCGCGGAAACCATAATCCCCATAACATCCGTCACGACACGGCCCGCCATTGCCGCCGGCGTGGGGTTGAGAAACAATCACGACCAACGAGCTTCTAACCGTTAATGGCGTCAATCAGCGAAAGAGAGCTGTGGTATAGTGCCGCCGCGCCCGACGGCGCCGTCTTCATCTTCTTTTTGAGCGGGGGCGGCGACGTCGGATTGTTGACTGGTATGGAGGACCTAGATGGAGAAGATATTTGGGGGGTTTTTTTGTTGGAAATTAGATAAGTTTTTTTGTTGGAAATTAGATAAACATTAAGAACCTGGGTTTATTGCACTAAATCCCCCTGTATTATATAAAATCTGCGCGTTTATCCCTGGTATTTCAAAAATTGCGTCAGACCCCCTCGTATTAACTAACTTTTGCACGAATCCCCCCTCTCCGTCCAACTTCACAGCGCGTGCAGCACACATTCATGTAATGCGGCAATTATTCAAATTTTCATATATTTTTTATTTTAAAATTGAAATTTACTATTTTGCCCCTTGCTTGTTGGGCGAAAATTGATGCTTGGCTGCTCCTCATAGGATTCGAACTTAGGTCAAAACATCACTAGCCAAGACTTTAAACCACTGTGCCACTATCATTATATTGTACAAAATTAACACACATTTATTTAAAGCAACATGAACAAGAGGAAAACTTAATCAAACAAAAATAAAAATAATATAATCACAAACTAAATCATTATAATAAAATTTAATTGAAATAAAATAATAAAAAACTATATTAAATGTGAAGTTTGAAAATAATAAATGAATATATTACTATTTAATATAAAAATTAATGATAATTAAATTTAAATAAAATAAAAAAATATATAAATATTAATATATGTTTTTTTAGTTATGTAGTAACATAATATATATAAACAAAATAAATAAAATTAATTATAATAAAATAATAAATTAAATTTATTTATTATAAAATAAAATGATACTTCTATATATAATATATGATTTGTTTTTATTTCACTTATTTAGTTTTTATATTTTCTTACATATTTA